CGACCCTAGAAACTATGAAACTATGAAACTATAAGCCCTGGGGTAGCCATTATAAGAACACTGCCGTCTGAAATGGAGGTACCAAATGAGTTTTGTGGCTGCTGGTAGAAGGCCAATTTGAATCATTCTTTGGACTGTGTCCTATTTAGACAGCCTACAGAACCATTTTGAATCCTGCCCCTATCTGGATCCTGGCCAGGTTTCTTATATCAAACTCCCTTGAGCCAGCCCTTATTCCAGTCATTCTGCATCCATCCAGAGACAAACCAAAAGCAATTGTTCATTAGACTGGGAATATTGTGTATTCTCTCTGCAGAATAGAGAACACACAAGGAAGAAAAATAAGAGCACTGTGCTGTACTGTGAAGTAATTTGCTTTCCTGTGTCCTTGACATTGGAAAGTACTGCTGTGGTCCTAACTCCCCAAGTCCATTTGTATCATTGAAAGGTAAAGCACTCTTTACTGATATTTCTTCTGCTTCTGTGGTCTGTATTGCATGTTACTTACTGTCATGACAACAATGTTTACAGGCACAATTGCCTGCTAAAGCAAGTAGTGCTTATCACTTAGGAATTTTATACATGAATCCCAGAGAAGCTACTTAAAATGGTATGTGTGCCGAAGTTCACATGCCATGATTCATGGGCACCTTGACTGCTTTTCCACATCCTCCTAGTGCTGCAATGAATGTTAGGCTATCATCATATCATTTTAAAAGTTTCACTTTGTTTCCTTCTTGACTCAGTACTTCAGTAAAAAAAAATAAAATATAGGCCATGTTTACAAGCTTCACTTTCTTTATACAAATAAAACCTTTCTACCAATCATCTAAAACAAACAAAGAAAAAACTAAGCACATTGCACAATATTTTATTCTTGTGATATTGGGCATACAGAGGTGTGTACAGGCAGTCTTCAGACTTACAACACAATTGGTTCCTGAAAACTGCATCTTGAGTTGAAACATCGTAACTCAGAACCAATTTGCCCATAGGAACAATGTTATAAATGGGGGATTGGTTCCTGAACCAAGGTCTGATACCCTATTTTCACCAAAAATAACCCACAATTTTGTACTCCATCAATTATAGATGAGTAATATAGCTACATTAATGTATTTATATTGAAAATAGCAACCATATTGATTTGGAAGGACTTCTTTGAGGTGCCTTGCTGGACTTTTTGAAGGATTCTTGGTTGGAGTTTTCTCAGGAGTCCTGGCTGCAGGTTCTTCTGCAGTCTTGCCTGCTTTCTTAAAGAAAGTGTCCAAGTAAGTTTGGACAAATGTTCTCCAGGGGGATGGGCCATGCAGCGAACTTGTTCATTGGCATGGCGTGGCATTTGGTCAAGTGTCGTAAAGTCAAAACTGACATCAGAAAGTTGAAACAGTGTCAATTTATAAACGTCGTAAGTGCCATTCATTGTAACTCAAAACATCTTAAGTTGAGGACTGCCGGTATTAAAATGGGAGTAAGCTTGGCTTCAGGCTTAAGTTTGAAGTCTTAGAGCAAAATTGTGGAGCCCTTAATAGCTTGATCAGCTCTTCTTCAAGGGAATAGGCCAATTAAGAACCTTTTCTAATACCTGGTACTCTTTGGGACTATTTTTATGGGTAACTAATACCCAGTTTCCTGATTTGGATTGTAATAGTGCTGCTAATTGTTGACAGAGGGATACATTCACACTGGAAGCACATCAGAACAAATTGAACTGATCCTGAATCACTTCATTTCAAGTCCAGTCTAGTATCTAGACATCAGATGGCGCACACAACAGAAAGCAATTGAATTTACTCATCTCAGACTGGTTCAGCAAATCGCTAATGTCAGTTAACATAATGGTCCAAATAGTTTTAATGAAAGAAAAAGTGAATTGTGAAAATGAAATCGTTTTCCCCTCTTCCAGATTCTTGGCTACCACTCTGTATGACATCTCAATACAATGTATAGAGTTTATAGAGCTGAACAACATCTTTAGAATAAAAAAAAAAAATCATTGAAACTGTTAACAATAATAACATGCATTTTTTATCTACTAAAAACGTTCTTTTCCAAGTAAAACATTTACTAAAAGCTCTTGTAGTAAATGAAAAAAATAATTTTCAAATAAAAACTTCAATAATGTATTTGTTAAAATGTATGCAAATACTTTATTAAAAATAAAATACCTATGAAATTTCACACTTGTGATCTTTTATTTTTGGAATGGTTCCAATAATTTATCAATATATATGACTTGATTAATAATCAAGAATATTAGTAGAGCTATAGCATTCTGTTAACCTAACAGATTCTTTCTGTGTCTATTGTAACTTGAGTTAATTGGAGATGAGAAAGCTCATAAATAACAATTGAATAATTGCTCCTTTTTAGGTTGACAAAACAATACCATAGTAATTAAAGTCAAACAGTATGGTATTGAAAGCCAAACAATTTGTTATTATTAAACAAATAACAAATTTCTCCATAAAAAGCTGAAAATATTCTGTACTGCCTTAATAAATTAGAAAAGTAAGATTTTTATTTATTTATTTATTGGTGCACAATTTTCCTGTAAAATTGTGTTTTTGACAGCTTAGAATTCTACATTGCTTGGTGTATACTACACATTTTTTGTCTCGGGTGAAATGAGAAACAGTTATCAAAGCAGAGCCAATCTAAAGGAGCTTTGATCTTTTATGTTAGATATGACCTGAAACAAGGAAACTAAATTGATTTTTCCCCTGTGTATGACTAAATGACAACCTTTGCCAGGTGGTAGAGATTGATTCATCAGTTCTGAATGGCAGTGTAATAGCAGCACTTCACTGCCAGGTGGAAATACTCTGGAAGGGTCCAGTAACATTTAAAAGATAGAAGATAAAACTAAGCTCTTCTGCAGACCCACAGAGGATTACTTGGTACAGGAATGATGAATTTGTACTTTACAAAAAAACAACAAAATCCCAGACTATGTCAAAATCATTAAAGTAGGCATGATAACGATCATTTTACAAAGCTGCAGTTCTCAAAAGGAGATTAACACAAGTAAAATATTACTTAATGGAGTTATAAATGAACTCTTTGATGAATTTTGGTGATCCTGAATTTAAAGTTTTGTGTCCACAAAAATTACAGCTATTTTTTAATGATTTACATTTACTTCACTTATTTTTACTTGGACTAGTTAGGTGGCATAAAAGTCCATTTCTGGAAAAGAGGTTAGGGCACTGGCAGCAGGCAAATTGGGAAGTGGTCATCTCTAATATTGAAGGGAGTTTATATCATGGAGAAACTCTCCAAGCCAGTTTGTTCCCAGATACTGCCAAATACATGCCAGTCTAACACTTTATTTGCCACTAATTAGTTCTACAGGAAACCAACACAAGTGACAACATTTGGATGGGGGTAGAAACTTCCCTCAACTTCGTTCTCATGTGGTGTTTGATTAAAACTTGTATGGCAATGTAACTAAGGAAAGAATTACTAGTTGGGCAATTAACCCAGATCTGCAGGACTCAATTCACTGCACAGGCCTGCTCAGGAAGTGTTTATTTATGAAAATAAAATTATAGCTAGAAATTCCTGACTTTGTAAGATAAGGTGGGTTCTGTACAGCAATGCCATTGCTGGTTTGGTTGGGGGGTGGGGTTAATCACCTTTCCTTTTTAGTCTGAAGCAGTGGCTTATCTTAGACAGGATATAATTTCATTAGGAATCCCTGGGGTTTAAAACAAGTTCTAAATGTTGCCTCTGTTCTGGTGTGAAAGAAGAGAGATATTTATGGAAGCACACATGGGTATAAGAATAGATGGCTATGCAAAAGTTATTATTCTGGCTTGTTCTGTGGAAAACCTTCAAATCAGAGGCAAGCACTGGTTAATAACTGAACTTATCAACATACATGTCAAAACTAATCTCTTTTTCCATACCAAACATGGGATAAGCATGTATTTGTTCAACAGTGTTAGCTATTCTGAGCATAAATCTCAGCTTGGTTTTGATCTATGTGTGGAAGGTAACAGTTTTACAAAACACAGAATTTTTCATAATACATACATCTGTGCCAATTCTGCAGGCCCAGAAACTGGCACAAGAAGCAAGGGAAAGTTCCCACTTTCACATAGAAAATCATAGAGGTTAGGGTCACAAGTCAATGGGTTAAAGGGAGGGAACAGGTAAAAGGTAAAGAAAAATCAACACTGTGTAGGGTTACCATATTTCTAGTTTTGAAAAAAAGGACACCTGTGGAGAGGGGGGCGGGGAAAAAAGGAGGTGTATGGTTGTAGGAGAGAGGTGATATGCCTGTGCCCTGCCCCTGCCACTCACTCCCAAGCCACAGTCCCCAACTCGCCAGACCTTGCTGATACCCCTCACTCCTAACCCTCAGCCCTCCAACCCCCACCCACTCCTGCCAGTGCCCCTCACTCCTGACCTACAACCCCCTACCCCCCCACAGCTCTGCTTTCGATGCAGCTCTCCGCTGCTTCCGAATGATCAACCCTGTGTCGCAGGGCACTAGGATGTTGTTTAAGAGAACAAGGAGCCTGAGAGGTTGCTTGCAGATGTCAGGAGGAGCGTTAATGAGGGACTCATCTGACCAGAAAAGGGCTATATAAGCTCAGAGCCTGCATGGGTCACGTAATTTCTCTCCCAGCAACAATAGGTGGTGGAAGGCCAGGGCTAATGGGGCCTAGCCCTCCCAAACTACTTTTGCAGTGGTCAGCAACAGCAGCAGCACCATGTCGCTACTGTCCCACAGCACCACCACCAGCAGCACCCCAGCACTGTGCCCGGTGCCCCCACCACGCACTCCTCTGCTGCTGCCACATACAGCACCAGCACACACCAGCCCTGCAACAGCCCTGCAGGAGGGAGGGACGGGGGCTAGTCCCCCCAAATAATATTTTCTCCTGCAGTCTATGCCAGCAACTACAAAGTGAGGAACTCCTAGGTGCAGGGCAGCAGGGCTCCTAAAGAGATTTGGATGGAGAGAAACAGCTCTGCAGGCCTGGAAACAGAGGCAAGTTCCCTGGGCAGAGAAAGACTGGTTTGTAGACAAGTGACTTTTGTTTTATGTTAGCCCCTAGAGGGTTTAAGGGGCTTACCAGTGGTCCATGTGCCCAGGGAAGGGCTGAGCTGGGACCAGAGGGTCCAAAAGCCCAAGGGGGGTGAGTGTATAGGTTAAGGTATAGCTCCAAGCTGGAAGGAATACCTGCTGGGAGATAAGGAAGGTTTGCTTTCTTAAAGGGACAGAGGGCTCCTTCTGCTGTATGTGTCTCTGTTATAGCCCAGGGGCTTGTGGCTTAGGTTACTGTTTAATCTGTGGTTTGGGTTGGGACAAAGGGCAGTATTGGAGTTTCCATTAGTGCCTGTGAGGCATGCAACTGCCTTGAGCCATGCCAGAGGCAGGCTAAAGGCTTGAGCTATTACTGAGCCCAGAAAGGGGCAGAGTGAAGGAGCACAACGAGAAGCACAGCCCCACAGGGGCCCAGGGCCCAGCAAGCAGGAGCCAGGCATCCAGTGACTGAAGGTGATCAAGTGAAGCTAGTGCCTTGAAGCCAGGTCTGACACAGTGGGCCTAGGCTAGAAGGCCTAGTGAGACTAAAGGGGCAGAGGCTGAGGCAGCTGTGGCCCCAACAGAGGGAACAATGTTACCATAACACCTGCGAGGCATTGGGTACGGTGTAGGGGAGGATTTGGAGCCACACAATCAACCCATAAGGCTTATGGTGCCCTGAGCGGCACAGTTATGGAGTGAGATCCAGCGAGGGGGGCCTGAGGACCAGTAAAGACTAGTGGCGTGCCAGGGAACCTTAACAGGGATTCAGGAAAATCAGGGCCATGCAAAGGCCCGTGGGCAGCCTCCCTATTTATGTATGCCATCAAGCCATGGCAGATGAGACAGGAATGTACCCTCAGGGCAGAGCGGGCATGGTTGTGAAGCCACCAGGGGGTGTCATGGCCACCCCTGGCATCCCAATATGTTACGAACTCCCACAAAATGGCCAAATGCTTGCAAATAGTTTAAAAGCAATCAGAATTTTCAAATGAGTTTAATTACATGCTGGATGACACCTTTGAGAGAGAGAGAGAGTGAGAGAGAGAGAGAGAGAGAGAAAGAGAGGAGAGATCTGCATGCTACATGACAAGACATGAATCAAAATGATGCCCCTAATAGCCAATGGTCTTCTTTATGTACTTAGATCATAATGAATGATAAAGACAAACAGTTTTAAAAAACAAGATTTATTTTTAAAAGTTTGAAACAAGTTTACTGTTTAAAAATGAGGATCAATTTTAGGAAACAATCACAGAAATCTTAGTTCAGAGCACTGTTAACAGCAAATATAGGCACCAATGCACATATACACTTGCAGAATATCTTTGTCCCTAAAACTTTTTAAACGGTCCCTTCAGTTTTAAATCTTTCCAGCATGGTACAGTGTTTCCTGGTGATTATGAGCATTTAACATTGACAACTATTCTAAGTCTAATACAAAATCATTAATTCTGATATCCTGTACGTGACTGTGGTGCATAAGTTGAAAAATCTGCATTAGTACTTGTATTATGAGCTCCCTCTTTGTGTCACCACAACCTAATTACTAGCATTTTCTCCTTTGCATCAGATAGCCATGGATCCAACTCTTCCCTTAAATATGGATTTATATGCTACTGTGACAAAGCAGTTCTGTTACATGAAAAGTCCTGCACTGTTAAAAATGCTGAGCTTCACTTTCCTCTGATTTAGACTGTTGTTATTTGGTTGACTTCAGAAACTGGATTACTTCATTGCTACTAGCATAAATGAAAGAAATCTCAACCCTGCTGTTCTTTACATCAGACATAAAAGAGAAGACCCCGTCTGATATTCTCTTTAATGTCAGTCTGGTCAGAAGTTAATAATCCCATAACATTAATGAAGAGATCCCAGGATAACCCAGTGCCCCAACCAATAACCCCTCTCATTAAAACAGATTCTAATTAGGGCATTGTAAACCTGCATTGAAATATGACAAGTCCTAGGACCAAAACTCAGATTTCTGGCTTCTGAGGTTCATGTTCATAGCCTGGTGTAACATACCAGGAATAAATTGACCCTGGGTCTTTAGCTAATACTTGGACTCATATTAGATCACTAATAACACATCCTATTTTATCATGGATATTGTATGAAACCCGGTGCCATGTCTATGGGGAAAAAGCTCCAATTGACTTAAATAGGCTTTGATTCAGGACCTAATTGAAAAGCTAGCAATCTACTTGACAGTGGCCATGTCTACATGAATTGTTTACTACACAGCTGACTACGCTTGCAGTCCTATTAGGCTGCAGTAAACTAATTAACTCCTCCATAACTGGGCGCTTGTAACTAGATACAAGTACTACCCTATGGTGGCATTCTTTAGCGCACAGCAATGCACATCTAGATGCTGACAGGGCTGGCTGGGGCACAAGGATTCTTCACTGTGGGGGCTGCCTGGCAGCTAGCCCCACACTGGAACACCCTTTTGTGCCCTAGGCCTCTATTTCCTAAGAAAAAGGCATACTTGATATTTATATTTCAGCTCCTGTGTATACTAGACCCTACGGGCTTTTTTATATGTGCAAGCAGTGCAGTGCGGGGCGCTTTGAAAAGCACCTGGCACTGCAATGTGTGCAGTTGTATAAGTGGCAAAATGCACATCAGCATAAAGAAAATGGTGACGGCGCACTTTTGAACTAAAGCACCTCAGAGGCAGCACACTGCACATCAGCTCGCATGTGGAGCAGACTCAGTTAATCACATCTTGCTCTGAAGCGGCAGATCTCCGGCACATTGCAGCACAAAAAGATACATGTATAAATGCCCTGTGTGTATTATGCAGGAATGGAGAACAATTTCTGTTGCTAAAGAGTGTGAAACTACTGAAACGTCTAATTTTTCCATTATTTGTAGCAGGCTACATATTTTGGAGAAGATTGAGATACTCGAGGCACATCAAACAGTTTGAAAATATTTCTCTCTCTGCAGGTTTGGGAGTTGGCAGTAGGATTTGTATAATTTTTAAGGCATGAGTTGACAAATTAATTCAAAGTAGTATCACTTCATTTATTCCCATGATAAAAAGTTTGTTTACTACTTGCTTATGCTATAACCTGCCACATGCGTTCCATTGTGTTGTCCAACTAAAGTTGGTAGCTTCTTCAAGTCTGATATACAGACCACTTCCTGGAGATTTTCAGAATAAAGTATTTTGAGAATTAGAGGGGGAGTATTGTTTTGGAAAAGGAGGGGATTCCAGAAGAGCATCTGTCTCTTACCAAGTTCTTTGCTGAATAACCAAGTCAAAGAATCGCTGGTTTAAAGCATAAGCCATGACAGCTTTAGAGAGATCTACATCCACAGATAAATAAAAATACACATTCAAAATCAGCAAAATGAGATCTTAGATTCTGGACACATATACATGAGATGCTTTACTTAAGATTAAAGCAAATTACTGGCAGTAAGTGTTACTATCTACACGTGCAGATGCTTACCATGCAGTAATTTGCTCTAATTGAGAGTAAATTTGCTACCTGCAAATACAAGTAGCAAATTTACTTGAAAGTAATTACTGCACAGTACAACATGTGTAGACAGCCAACCAGGAGAAAATGTGCTCCCAGTCAGCCAGGCAGCAGGGGCAAGAGATTGCTCTCTGCCCCCAGGAGCTATCTGCTGCCAGGGCAGGCTCTGCCACCAGAGCCCAGGTGAGGCCAATGTCCCCCTGCCCCGGTAGCAGGGAGTTGCCAGCCCCTGCTTCGCAACTGCAATTCTTATCTCCCAAGCCCCCCTCCGCAATCATGGAGACGGGGCTGGGAGATTCTTATACCTTCTAGCCCCCGCTCTGTAATCATGGAGTAGGGGCTGGGAGCTCCCCCTGCCCCAGCAGCAGAGATATTGTCCCTGCCTGGACTCCAGTGGTGGCACCAGCCCTGGCAGCTCCCAAGGGCAGGGAGCAATCTCCCAGCCCTTGCCAGAAGACAACTGTCTCCTGGCTCCTTGCTGCCTGCCAGCCCAAGAACTAGCACCCAGGGGAAGCCTAGAGCTCCCACTGGCTGCTGCGGGGCCAGGGGAGGCAGAAGTAGACTGCTGCCATGAGCAGCAAATCTGCTCTTGCTTCCTGGCACATGTCCATGCCGGCTTGGGGTGGGTTTACTCTAGAGTAAATTACACTAGAATAAACCCAGCCTGGAGCATTTGCATGTGTAGACACATCCTCTCTGTTATAAGCCCAGAGAAGTCTTAATCCCTAAAGTTGTTCTTTATGTTGTTCTCTACTGATTGACTTTGGGAGTAAAAATAATGAACTTCAGAAGGAACAGTGCGGGATTCTATTCTCCTGGCTTAGCTGCATTGCCAAAGGGTTGATGGGGAGAGTTGAAAGAGAATAATATTGTAATAATATTATTAATAAGTTCAAAAGTATTTAGGCAATCTCTTGCTCTTGTTTAGCAAAAGCTCTCAAGGCTCTGCCTCAGCCACAAACTGTTGGCTTGCTCATACTTTTTTGTTTGTTCTTGCCATTTCATAGTGTATCCTTGGGGCATTACATAAACTGTGAGGGGTTTTTTGCATATAGACTAGTTCTAGAGAAACGGTATTTGTTTGCTTCACAGAGATTTATGTATATTTTTTTCTGCAGTTCAAGTTCAAGTGAGCTTAAGAAAATCAAAATGAAACTCCGTCAGAACTGTGTTCCCCCGATTCAGTTGCACTAACAGGCTAGATACAACACATTTCACAGTTAAAAAGGAAATGTCATTCATTTAGGGATGAAGTAGGCAGATTTGTATAAAGTAACTGGCAAAACCATTGTCCAAAACCGCTAATCATGTCCTTTTTGAGGCTTAGACAAACTCAAAAATCATTTCTATTTTTTATTTTTGAACTAAATAAATGTCTTCTCTTTCTCTCTGTCTCTGAGATAAACAGTGGAAATAAAATTTCCATGAGAAAGTCTATTCTTGCGAGTCCCTATGTTCTCATCAAAAATGCATAACAACATACCAAAAATTAAAAGTGCTTCGATAATTCCTAAATACAAATCAAAAACTCCTACTCAGCATGAACACTTACCAAGTTACAGCACAAAATGGTCCCCTAGAGAAAATCCTAAAAAGCAAAAAATGAAGAAAGAATTGTGGGGGGGCAGGGGAAGGGAACCTACTGTTTTCTGTCCCTTCCTCCCTTCTCCCTCTGTTTTTTGTTGTTTTCTTTTCTTCCCCCTTCTGTAGTGACTGAGTGACAGGGCTGGTTCTGTGTGGGGCTGGTTTAGGTAACTGACAGGTTGGGCTAGGATAGGTAGCCTTATAAAAAGGCAACCCCTAGCAAACTGTGGAAGCAGCAAACAGAGGGCAGCAAATAGGAAAGGAGTTTGCCCATGGAATTCACCCAGGAGGGAGCCAAGGAGTGAGACACTCCATGCATGCAAATGTGTGTGGGTGGGAGTGTGGGCAAGGACCCTGGTGGAGGTGTTTGGTGTGCAGGTTCTTGTCATGTGTCTTCCCCCACCTCTCTCTTTTTTTCATCCATACAGCATAGGTGTGCTCCAGGGAGCAAGGGAGGCACACATGGAGTCTGGGTCAGCTGTTGTGACCTGCATGGGATATGTCATGATCATG